CTCCTTTTTCCAAAATTGTTCTACAACAAAACCAATTTGGGCATTTTTACTATAAAAAAACTAAAAATGTATTTTTTGTGTTGTTGTTCAATCATCCTCTGTTGTGCTTGCAAGTAATTTTGCTAACAGTTTTCAAAAGATTTTAAATCAGTGACTTTATTTTACGAATAGCTTAATAGATTCTACAAATACATATGTAGCGCTCAGTGCAAAGGAAAGCAGGAAAATGATTTTACAAAAAAATGTGCATGTTATGAAAAAAGGCAGGTAAGGCAGTTTTACTGAGGATGCTTGGCCTGAAGGTGCCGCTTGAGAGATCGTTTCCGTTTGAACGTTTGCTTACAAATGGTGCATGGAAATGGTCTGGAGTCAGTGTGCACCACTTGGTGTGTTTTGAGTTCGATTTTGCTTTTGAATGCTTTGGAGCATGTTGTGCATTTGTAAGGTCGGACGTCACTGTGCACCAGTTGGTGTGTTTTGAGATTCCCAAGTTGTGTGAATGACTTGGAGCATGTTGGGCATTTGTACGGTCGATCGCCAGTGTGCAACCGTTGGTGTCGTTTGAGATCACTTGTCTGTGTGAATGATTTAGAGCACACTGTGCATTTGTACGGTCGGACGCCAGTGTGCACCCGTCGATGTGTTTTGAGATCGCCACTAGTTTTGAATGACTTGGAGCATGTTGGGCATTTGAACGGTCGATCGCCAATGTGTACCGGTTGATGTCGTTGGAGTTTAGATAGACAATCAAACCTTTTGCTGCACTGTTGACACCTGTGGTTTTTAGTTTTTCTTTGACGACGATTTGGCTGTTGCTCACCTGATGAACTGCTCGAGTTTCCATTGACCACTGTTTCAGCTTGCTGAAACTCTGCAAAATAAAAAAGTGTTACACAAAAGAATAAGAATAAACCCAGCCACTGCCCACTCACCACTGACTGCTTCATAATCCTCATCATCAATTTCAGTGGCATCAGAGTCATTTTCCGATTCTTCATTTCCACTCAATGCCTCATTCACTTCATTGACATTTTCAGCAGTAGACGCAAAATCTTTTTTCATAATAAAGTGAAACTCATCGTCGTACATATCAATTGACGTTTGTTCCGGTTCTTCAGTTTTGATTTCCGATTCTGTTGATTTAGAAAAAGATTTATTAGTAAAGTTAATAGTATTTTTTATCATTTACCATTTCCTGCAGATTGATCGCCATTTTCCAAAGCATTGTAATCAGTCTCCGAATCATCTTCTTCTTCCTTCACCACAATTCCTTCATTTTCTTTTTCATCATTATTTGCACAATCAAACTCATCGTA